TTCGGCGCAATGCGTGAAGTATTCCGACAGTCTTGTAGGCGCCGTGAGTTTCACGCCGACCGCTGCTGAACGCACTGTGTTTGACGCAATGCGTGAAGTATTCACGCTGTCTTGTTCACGCTATCCGTTTTACGCTGACCGCAATGACCGCACTCTGTTCGATGCGTGAAGACTTAAATTAATGCGTGAAGTATTCGTGCAGTCTTGTAGGCGCTCTTTCTTCCTTCTTTCTGTCTTTCTCCATATTTAAAAATTATTTTTTCATTTTTATGCTGAAAATTACGCACAACTCTTAAGAATGAACACCACAACTGTATTTAATCGTGTATTTCTATGTATAGGAATACTCACTGTTAGTTTGCGTTACATGGATTTTGTTCACGGCTCGTAGGTTATTCTGGATTTTCACGTTGATGTTGATGGTGGTTTTCATCGTCGCTCTACTGCGAAAACCATGGCATCGTTTCCGCAACAATCCGACCGTCATATCCATCGATAAGAATTTCAGATCCTGGCGCACCTTTTTACCCGCCATCACATTTTGCCCTCTCAACGCTTTCAACGATACCAAGGCACGCCAAGTCATCAAAACGTGAGATTCGATTTCTTTCGTCATGTACTATCGCCGAATTTACTTTCGCGCATAGGCCGCTCCAATAATCAAATGTAAACTGTGCAACACTCACATAGGAACGAGTGCGTCTTCACGAGAGCGTTATCAGGCAACGCGCCGCGTCGCGCCGTCGCTAAATAGTCACCAGAGACTATGCGTGAAACTAAATTCGGCGATAGTGCACTGCATGCAACTTATTATGCCTAAAATATGTACTAGCGTAATTAATTCATAGTCCAACGAAAATCCAACCTACCGTACACTAGTACACTGACGGCCATTTTCCCGAAAATTAGATGCGATCAATAAGTTCAGACGACCTTGGCCAGTTTTGATATGACTTTTAAACTTTAAGAATTTCGAGGTAAACGCCCATACCATCCGGTTGAAGCCAGAAAACACTCGAGGTCAGAATTCTTCCAACACTCACCAAAACGGGATAACTCCATGCTAAAATCTGATCTTCTGGATCAGTTCTATCCAAAGTAAAACTAGTCCTGGAACATACGTAGATAAGTTCGTCGTGGTTTTCATATAAGTTATCGACACTCCTCTCAAACAACAACAATTTTTTCACAAGAATTTGGCACAAACAATTTTTTTGTCTGGGTAGCTCACTAAACTTCATGATCGTTGATGGTTTCCCCCTTTTTATTGAACGCGGATGGTTTGGTATTTCAGGGTGTGGAACGTCAGCGAATCGGAAGCTAAATTCAACTACTACCTGAATTTCACACGACAAGTGGTGAATTTAAATTTAAACCGAAAAAGCCTCTCGAATTTTGATATCTATGCTAACGATTCCAGTTTGATGAAGATTAACATGCTAGACCTCGCCATGCAGGTAATTTATGACGGTAACGAAAATTTAAAGTTACTAAGTGTCAGGCAGCATTGTACACTCTGGATCAGGCAACAAGTTGCTATTCCGGACAAAGGTTTGTATGTGAATAATAACCAAGGTGTTGTGTTTAATATTTATTAATGACTGAGGTACCTTTCGGCTTATGCTATCTTCGGAGTACAAATTCTTAGGAGCATAAACAACTCAAAGTTTTAGAAAAATTAGAAGTAACTGTGGCCACAATAAGAAATGAAAACAGATATATTCAAATATTCAAACGGAAATAGAAAGAGCAACAAACCCGCTCATCAGGAGGTGCTGCGACTTATCAATGAAGCAGGAAAGTTCCAGGGAACGTAATATCCATGTATCGGTGAATTAACCAGTGCATGTAGCCACAATCAGCTAATTCGAATGTTTACGATTTTCATAGGTGTAACGCTCTGAACTTATTTGACTTTCTCTTAATCTTGACTCTTCGTGAGATGTCCACGATGTATTATTGTGACAATTTGTGTAAAACAAAGTGTGATAGATTTGTGTTCAAAAGAATTTGTACTCCGAAGATGGCGTAAGTCGGAAGGTACCTCAGTGATCAATAAATATTAACACCTTGGTTCTTATTCACATACAAATAAAATGATGTTGTTTAAATCAAGCCTTATTGACAAAGGTTTCATTTTTGTCATCCAATTTTATCATTGATCAATGAACTCAACGCACGATATAAAGTTTGTTTTAAACTTTGTGAATTAGCATAAGCTCCCACACCCGTATTGTGGGATTGTTCAAATCGTACATCAGTTATTTATATAGTTGCACAATCGAAGGTGCGTTTTTAAGTGATGCTCTGTAAACTGCGCAAATTTTCAGCCATGGATGCGGATCAATTAAGTAAAAATATTTTAAGTTTTTCTTAACTATTCGAATGAAATTTTGATTGAATTTAATAATTCAGATAAAAAAAGAAAACTTGAATTTTAAGACTTGTACCTTTTTTAATTTTGAGTTTCCTCTTAAAATACAGAGAAAGGGAAGCAAAAATGATAGAGGTTGACCGTGAATGACCGGAGTGAATTAGGTCAGAACGACTGATAATGTAACAGATTACTATTAATGTTTAGGTAGGGGAGGGGGCGGGGGGGCCGCTTACACCGAATGAATTTGCAACAAATTTGCATGTAATTAATTGAACTCACAAAATTACTGTTGAGCAACGACTTATTCACTCCCATCTATAGCTCATTTGCATATTAACAACGGTAGTGAACTTGTTGAATCGAAGAGACCTCTGCATGAGCTTTGATTCTTTTTTCAGGTGGCGAAAGCCTTTTCAGCAAGATTAAACGTTCATCAAGAAGGGTACAACAGCTCCAAGTTTAACCTAAGTATCTTGGAAGTGGGTTTGTGTCAGACTTTTGGTGGGGTTCTATCCGAGTACTTTTCCTTCAGGTAAATCCACGCTAGTTCCCATCAGAGTATGCATTTTATTGCTCGGCATCATTATTCCTAACGAAGGGAGGATCAGAACTGCACTTCATTGCCGATTGAAAAACCATTTTTCAATCGGCCCACAGTAATTTCTTGAAAACAGGCCTGTTCATCTGAAAACAATGTCAGTATCAGCTAATAAAATGTATATTTTCTCTTAAGAGGTTAATAAAAGTTTTCAGTCTGTCTTTGACATCTACCGAGAATTGTTTTGGTATTTATTTATAATTACTACGTAATTATATATTTTTCTTATTAAAAACTAAGAAAAACATGGTGACCTCGACGTGATCTTCATCTGCGCAATTTAGAAGACGTCAACGAAAATTAAAAGTTTTCACTAAAGTGGAATACACGGCCAAAATCAGTATTCAACCGTACACTGCACTCTTTTTCCCTTGCCTATGTTTTTATCCAATGGTTTTTCATATGGTTAAGGTTTTTAATGAGGCAGTATTTCTTGTGGATAATGAAGTTCATAAAAATCTAATTCCATGCAGTGATCGATTTGATCTCCGTGGGATAACAATTCCATGCAGTGATCGATTTCTTGTACGTCGGTCCTGACAAAGCTCTCAAATTTGGGACAGCAGCTATATGGAACACTGCAAGTGTCGAAGCCCAATGGCCAATCGTGTGGATACATGTGACAACCGCCGTGTCATTCTCTCGCCAGCTAGGATATTGGACCAGGACAACCTTCTTGGCGTACCCTTGCAAGGGGCCTTGGCCCGTATGATGGTTCATAAGAAAGAGATTTGCCTTTGTGGCAATTACGATGGATAAGGCCTTTACAATGGGCTCCGAAGTGACTGCTTCCGGGGCGGCGAGTTCTGTTATCGCAGGGTCCGTATTGTCCCGGATCATCCAATCTCCGTCTGGCCTACCGCGCGCCGACAGTCTCTGCGAGGCCTGTTCCATCATGAAAAATTAAAAACTCCGTCCTACGAAGTAAAACACAGACGCCTAAACTTTGCACCTGTATAGTTTTCCCGACAAAATACACAAATACGGGTCTTCAGGTACGTTGTTCACCAAAAATAACATAAAAAATGAATTCTACGCGAAAAATTACATGAGGTTGATGGTACATAATCGATCAAATGACCAGGAATATTCGTTATCCTCGTAACATTGGAAGCGCAACGCTCCATGACCGACCTCTCCCATTGACTCGATCCACCGTGCGCCGACAGTCTCTGCGAGGCCTTTAAGAACGATCCCCGCAGCAGCACTCGCGTACAGATTTCTAATTTCAGGCGGGTTGCTGCTAAATGTTGTGCTGGCCCACGCCGCAGCATACCCGGCAGCTCTAGAGAGATTAACATTGCTGAGAATCGGGAGTTTGTGATTGTCGGGTAGAGACGGGTCAACGCCGACGGGGATGGGCTAAAGGAATGGGCCTTGTAAGGCCCATTCCTATAGCTTCAGTGTGATGCAACCCCAAATGACGTTCAATCCCATCACATCTTATCGCTTTTTCATTTTCCCTTACCTCCAAGCCACATGCCCCACATATCCCCACACTGTTATCCCAATTATCCATATTTTCAGTATTTATGTTTAACAACTTATCTTCCAACTTATCATCCAAAATACACCCAACCAACGTCCTCTCTAAGTCTACCATAGATTCCTCTCCAGTCCTAGTGTGAAGAACAAAATTAATGGGAAAATTTTCAACTTACCGACATCTTCATTCAAACTTCAAACGATGAAACAATATTACTCAGAATTAAGTGGTTATGGAATGTAAACAAAATCATGGTTCTTTGACCTTGAGAAAATGGGGGGGAAAAGCGGGAAGCGGATTTGCGTGAAAAATGAACGTTTCCGTTTCCGGTTAACTACGCCCCTCCCATTGGAACTGTTGGATCCAACCAAGGAGAAAACAATGAGAGGGGTTACCAGCTGTGGTCCGCAGGATTGCTGAACCTGCGACAACAGTCCCCCATATGGTTCCGCAAGTTCCTTATCGGCAGCAGTGGCATAGTCCGCAGGTATCCTAAATTGGTGGGTTCATGCGTGATTTTTCTGGGCCTCCGAGGCCTGATGGCCCAAGCACCTCAACAGCGACCCCCTGGACCCCCAGGAATGCAGTTCCAAATGATGCCTAGACTAGGGACCACCCCGTGGACCTCTCATGCCCCAAGGGGTAACCCTGGGGGGGGGCGTCCGGATTCGTCCACGGTCAGTTTTCTATGGTCCGGATTCGTCCACCGATGGAAAAGGACCGATCTCCGGACTCATCCACGGTCGAAAAACGCATTTCCACGCGAAATAAATCTACTTATTTTAAACGGACGATGTGGCAAGAGCGCCAAGAACCTGGATTTTTCTATACCAACTTTGAGTCAGGTGAAATCTGCATCCTTTTATTTCTAAAGTGTCAGGATAAATATTTCTGGGGCACCATGTATCGCATTTTCGAAATCAACGATGATGCGTTTAGGAGTCCAGTCTGTGCAAAGGTTCAATATTTTCTTAAATAACTTTTCGTACGTTTCTTGACTTTTGTCAGGGAGCAAACAAAAAAGTAGAGGAATGGTCAGCAAGGTCCACATCCCGGTGGACCCAGACCTAATTGGAACATACCACCCGGTATGCCTCCTCATCTAATGCAGGGCCGGGGGGGGGGGGGTTACCCTCCACATCATCAAGGTCCCCCCCACCATAAAGATACCTCGCTCAATCAGCTCTGTTTTTTGCAAAATATGTTTCATGATCCCATGTCTCTGTCGCAGCAAATCGGAGTCCGCAACCAACTTCGACCCCCCACAATGCTATTACACCAGCGCCAGCTGCTATGGTCTTATGGAATTGCAGAATCTTTTTGATGGCGGGAAGGCGAGTACAGTTGAACGTATTACTTACCTAAGAAACATCGATAATACTTCAGTAAACCCCCTCTAATTAAACTTTCAAACCTGAATGGCTCTTGACAAACCTCAGCCGGATTAGCAGGCAGTTTGTTTCCATCTTCGCTTGTTTCCATTTTCGCTTCGCTTACCTAAGAAACATCGATAATACTTCAGTATACCCCCTCTAATTAAACTTTCAAACCTGAATGGCTCTTGGCAAACCTCAGCCAGATTAGCAGGCAGTTTGTTTCCATCTTCGCTTCGTGCGGACGATTACCGAGTTGAAACGAAGAGAGGTTCGAGAGGAGTCTTCCACAATTTATCACATTTTTTGTAGGAAATATCGTGGAAATGTATCCATCTAATTTTAAACACCTCCTTCATCTAAACTAGGTTTTTTCCCATTGGATTTTTCCCTAGTTTTTTTCATGTGCAATTTATTAAATTGTACAGCCTAAAATTCCTCCCTAAACTTTCTGTAGAAAATCTTAATCTACAAATTCAAATGGATACCTTTTAAACAGAGGTATTTGTTGTAATAATTCTTAAGTGCATTCTAAAAAGTCATGTTCTTTCTTTGTACTGATTTCTTTCTTGACAATAAATTCGATATATACATAGGCAATAAAAAAATCTAATTTTAAAGTATCCTTATCAACTTGAGGGAGCTTACGATTGCGTAAACGGCATTTCAGGTCTACATCCACTCGCCGTTCGAGGTGGCGACATTGGAGAGCCGTTACGTGTTCATTTCGGCTCACCGCTCGGTGGGGCTGGAGTTCACTTCGCAGGAGATGCTTTCGGCGGATAGCGTGCGGTTCCTCTCGGTCGCCCAGCGAGGCTGCAAGTTCATGGAGGACGTCACCTACTCGAGCATCCCCGTCTACAGCTACAACATCTGCAAGATGCACTGCAGGAAGCAACTGGCCATCAAGCTTTGCAACTGCTCTCCGTACCTCTACTTTCACGTCGGTCAGTAACGTACAGAGAATCTCAAGTTTCAAGCTAATGGAACAATAGACAAGGTGCGAATTTAAGCATTCTGATACATGTTTCTTAACCAGAATTTCACGTAAAACACGATTCGCGCAACGAAAATCACTGAAACTAACTCCTAACGAAGATATTATCGTTTTTATTTCACATTGGTTACGAGGAATTTGAACTGCCCGCTCACAAGAAACTCAAAGCTCTACGTGGGTCAAATCGCGCACTACAGCGGTTTCAGCAAGCTTCTCAATCGAGCAATGTTCATTTCCCTCTATGTGTTTTACAAACTGTAATTAATTTGCTATAGCTGAGCCAAAGCGTCAAGGTTGAGGTTGCCTGATTTTTTTGTCGCAGAGACGTTCATGATAATACGTTTAGCGCGCGATGTGAATCTCGTAGAGCATTGAGTTTTCATGAGCGGGTGGTTTGAATTCACGCACCAAGAATCATTAAATATCTTCGAGAGGAGTTGATCTCGGTTATTTTCGTTGTGCGCATCGTGTTTTACGTGAAATTTTGGTGAAAAAACATGTATCAGAATGCTGATATTCGTACCTTGTCTAGTGGTCCATTGTATCGAGTCAGGTGCAGAGGGTGGCTATCCTAGCAAAACGGCTGAGAGAGCCAACCGCTATACTAAACATCGGGAGACGTGAGATGAAATAAAGACGAATGAAATGGTGATGAATAATCTTTAATAAGTGACTAAAAATGAACAAGAACAGAAATGACAATGATATTATAGGGACCTCTCTCTACAAGGGTGGATACAAGGGGAATAATATGTGCTCTCGGTGTACCGCACGGCTATGCTGGGGTAAATACGCGGCATCGCCTGAAACAGATGAGTATATACTCAAGAAGACTCAAATATGTATGTATATATATGTATTGGACTGGTAGTGGGTGATATTTTCTGTGTTACTGAGTAAACATAAGCATTTACTTACGTTTTAGGGTTTGGCCTTCTCGCCTCCGTTTTTCTGTTCTGCTTTATATCGCAGATACTCTTCCTGGGCGTCTAACAGGCGTTTTCTATACGACAGTGGTATAACCAGAGAATTAATCATCCGGAGATAGCGTGGTGGAAGGGCCAAAGACCCTGAAGACAAGCATCACTGCTAGTCAGTCTCCGCTAACAGCGGGATGGATGGAGCCGTATCTGAGGAAGAACCCCGTGTCAGCGATTTGCACTACATCCCAAGAACCACGAAGGTTAGGGAGTCTGGGAATGGCACGCAGATCGGCAGGGGATATGGTTTTAACATCAAGGTCATCTCTTTCAAGAAGAAGAGAGACCGTGTTGCTCATGAGCGATTTGAAATAATATCGTAAACGATATGGCTCAGGTAAACAAGAGCAACATGTGTAAACTTTTACGTCGCCGTATTCAACGGAAGTTAAAATACAAGGATCAACGTACTTTTGGCACTTGATTTTCTGGCACGGAATTGCGGTATCAGATACTCCGAAGTGGTCAGGATTCCTGACGTAAGTGAGGTTGCTTTCCAGAATCTGGTTTAGGATCTCGTTCCTAGTTGCCGTTTCGTTGAAGGACTTTTATTTATTTATTTATTTATAATTCATGTACGTAAATGCCACACGTTGTGGCTACAATACTTGTCAACTCCCCCCCCCTAAATATTACACATTAATATAATATAGGTACGTAAGAACACAGGGAAGCATTAAGAATATTACACAATTTTACAAAATAAAATAAAAGGTATAGTAAATTACAGTTAAATATTATTAAAAAAATCATTTAAGGAATAAAAAGCCTTGCCAACTAGTAAGGCTTTTAGGCCAGCCATAAACTCTCTTACTTCCCATTTCTGAAGAGCTTTTCTCAGGTTCAAGGGAAGGTTGTTGAACAGTCTGATGGCAGTATGAGACACAGACTGTTCAGCAACCTTCAGGCGAACAATTTCATAATTGATGAAAGGGTTTCTCATGTTCTTTATCATGTCCTTACGAACTTCGACTTCGTTTGGGCGATGGTGTGAGGTAAGAAAGAATGGATGTAAAATGCTAACAATAGCACCAAACTGACGAACGGCATTACGGTCAAGATTTTAATGACACGTAAACAGTTGTGACTGAGGTAGGTAAGCAGCGTTGTTTTCCACATTTTGAACCTTGTCTCCTGAACCTCAGGCTCAAGAGAAATAGACGAGGAGGAACTGTAACGCTCGAGAGATATCTCGTCTGGTGAAGGTGCGGGCCTGCGGTGTAACAAGTTCTTTAAGTAGGCGAAACTACTCATGGCGGAAGGAAAAACTTGAAATGCGGTAAGGTTTTACGAAAATCAAAAGAAATTCGGAGGTCTGGATATCCAGCTCTCTAAAAACGAACTTATACTTTACGATTTTTCAAATTGAACATATTCAAAGCCCGAATGAAAATTGAATATATCCACACAAAAAAAATGGCAAATATATTGCCAGAATCGCGTAGTATAAAGAGACATCGGCACGTGGGTGCCTATAGGGGCGGGTTACGTCTAATATAATGATACATGTTACATGTAATAATCGATTGTTTTCTGGGACAGTTAGTGAAATTTTGGGAAAATTCGCTTGCGGAACTAATAAATCCCCCGTTCTTTTGCCACGCCATAAATCCCTCGTTCTAAAAATTGCGACACTCATTCTACATGTTATTATTATCACATGTTATTTTACAGTTTATTACGAATATTAAAATTTACAAAAGTCTTGGCCTCTTGGGGTTTGGGGAGTCATCTGACGATTCTGATGGCCCGATGACGTCATTTGACGATTCTGATGGCCCGATGACGTCATTGGACGATTCTGTTGGCCCGATGATATCTGAGGAGAGTTAGTGAAATTTTGGGAAAATTCGCTTGCGGAACTAATAAATTCCCCGTTCTTTTGCCACGCCATAAATGCCTCGTNACGTACGAGGATAGAACTATCAACTCACCTTAGTCTCTCCGATCAATTTACAGCCTCGAGTGACAGGGTAGTCCCTCAAAGCGAACAATCCCTTACAACATTTTAAAGATAACAATGGCCGAAAGTTTCGGCCGACCCTTCAACAGAATGGAGTTTTAAGTGGTTTACACTGAAAAAAAAAGTAGCTTGGATCAAGCATGATAATTATTGAATTTGCCGCCAAGAATTTTCTTTATCTTGCTTTAAGCTGACTCTTTCTTGATTCGAGAAAAATAATGCTTGGGTTAAGCAAAAAAGTAGCTTATATTAACCAGCAAAATTCTTGATTTAAGAAGAAATACTTCTTGGCGGCAAATTTAAGACTCTTTTTTCCAGTGTGGTATGAGAAGTTTTTCAAAACCCGACTTATACTCCACGAAATTCGTATGATTTCACTCTCATCGTTTTTACAAAGGACCCATTTTTCGGCCATCTTTCAGATCCGGTTCAAGTCTGCGACGCTCACGGTTTGAGGTGTATCCAGAAACACTTGAAGTCCATTTTAAAGTTTGAGGACACAAACGGCTCTAAAATAAACTGTGGCTGCATCCCGAATTGCAACGAAGTCCTTGTCACCTCGTTCACAGATGAAAATACGGTCTGGTAAGCACTTACCGAGAGAATGATCCACCGAAAATATGATGCCACTGTCTTGAACCAAAGGGCTGGTGTATTTCCTCACCCTAGAACATAATGGCTTATATTGTCCGTTTTGGTAGGTCAGGTCGTCAATTCCATCCCGAGCTTAAGATGCCATTTCCTTCGTTAACACTCGTAGCCATTGTTAATTATTTTGCTTCCATCTTTTGCTCTCTTACTACCTGTTGCTGGAGTTCTCTACCATTCAATATGTGTTCCGAACAAGCTGTTGATATTTCTCGTGCGTAACGTGAGATACCAGTCGCCTGTTCAGAAAAAATGTTGAATGGTAGAGATCTGAATCAAGAATCAATCAAAAACTATTGCAAGAAGCCCCCTGAATTTCAGCAAGCAATCTTTTGGAGTTGACAGTGGAACGAACATGTTGCCTTTACGCTAAATAATATGACTACTGCTTGAAAGGCGTGTGTTAAGTAAGTATACTTAAGTGCGAAAAAGGGAGGGTCTTAGCGGGGGTAAAATCAGACCCCTTGCCGCAAGTTTAATAGTTAATAATAGCCATCGTGGCAACAGGCCCGAGACGACGACTATCGATGTGAACCTCATATTAAAAAATACATGAAGTGTTGAGTAGATTTAGGTATAGTTAGCAGAAAGTAAAATTTTCATTTTAAAACCGGTATTTGAAGAAGAACGACAAAAAACAGGGCTAGGAAAAATCAGAGATTGATAAAAATCAAGAATTTTAAAAACGAGGGACAAGACGCTCTCCGTCAATGATCTGAAACTTTTCTGTTTCCAGGACGAACGAAGTGGAGTTGAATTTCTCCCGCTACGCTTGGAACATCCAAAAATTCTCGCGAGAGAGGTATATCAGGAACGTTCTCTACAACGTGGAAGATTTCGTCGTATCCGTCGGGAGCTTTGTGGGGTTGTTTCTCGGCGGCAGTCTTCTGTCTTTAGTCGAGTTATTTTACTTCTTCACCCTCCGCCTTTTCTGGTATTTACAAGGACGCAGCCAGGAACATGGACGCTCTATGAGAATTTAGTGAAGTAACCGTCCCCCGAAGATAAATTTCCATAGCCGCAGCCCGCGATTACTTCAAGGAAGAAAAAAACCCACGGAATTTTTCAGTTCTGATCATTTTCAATCCCTGATTCTGAGTATGGGATGCAATGAGGCATCATAATACGCCCCTGCTCAATTCTTTTCTGGTATAATTAGCAGTCAATCCAAGTTAGCTGAAATTTCACTAACAATTTTTTTCTCAAGATAGTATCTTGCCTTAGAGCGTCGTTTCTTGTCGACAACAATATTCAAATTATAAAATGTGTTTTGGATCAAAACTATTTTAGGTACAAAAATAAATATTTCAAAGCCCAAAATGGTGTTGCTATGGGATCGCCCCTGTCAGGTACCATTGCCGAAATTTACCTCATGGAAATAAAAGAAATTAAGCATATTATGAGCAATAAAAATCCGCAATTTAATCCCTGTGATCCGTCCCTGGCCGGTATGATGGTTGAACAACCACCAATTCGCCTTGGTTGCAATTGCGACAGTGAGAGCAGATCGAAGTGCTTCTACGGTGTAGGTATGTGCTGGGGCTGGAGGCCATTGTTCCGAAACGGCCGGGGGAGCAGGAACTGAGATCCAGTCACCATCCGGCGCGCCGCCTGAACTCCTGCATAGCATGAAAATATTCAAGAAAATTACGAAAATTTAAAAACTTTTAAATCAATTTTTAAAAAATACCTTGCATAAACGATTTCAATTTTGGGAGCGGACGCGTTTCGGAGGTGTCCCTGACCTCCATCCTCGGCGCGACTTCTCATCAACTCCTACATAGACCGAACATCGTTGCTGCCATGGCTCCGCTGACTAGCAGATCTTGGGCCGCATGTGTTGCGAATATCTGCGCTGCTGCCCAGCTTCCTGCGAACGAGACCGCTCTCGCCAACGAGCCGTCCGTCAGAACAGGCAGGCGGTGTTCGTCAGAAAGAGAAGAGTCGATCCCCACAGCTATTTCCGCTTCGAGTGATCCATTAATAGGAGGAAGCGTGATTAAATAATTGGGTACATTGGGCTCTGGAATTTGGGCTATCATTGCAGATTTAGCCCATGCAGTAGCGGATACAATGTGGACCAAGAACGAATCTCGGACTAAATCATGACTACAAGAATCTTGAATGCAGTTAAGCTGCGGAAGCGATGGAAATTAATGGGGAAAGAGAAGTAACAAAAGGTGAGAACCGAAATCAATACAAAACTTGAAACCAAAAAGAAAACCAAAAGTAAGAAATTTTAAATGAAGAAAACTAATAGGACTACATTCAAGATGAAGATATTCACCGTGCTTGTGAGCTTCAATTCCCAGTCTAAGTACGAGAGCAATTTTGCTTCCAGGTGGAAAAAAAGCTCATAAAATGTTTAAATTTTTGGGGATTAATTCCGAAAGCGACATCAGGTCTACCAAACTTACAAAAGCACTAACGCAAATATTAACAAAAGCTGGTTTTATAATGTTCAAAGTTGACGATTCGAGATTTTAGATCGGTCATTATGGAAAAGTAGACGTTCATGCATGGCAATTATCTCACATCCTCATCTACTGGTGGCTCTTTGGGTATGGTCTACACTGTAAAAAAAAAGAGTTAGTGCTGTGCAATCAAATACGGCACTACCACACTAACCTGATATTATCTGATATGGACCTAGATGCCTTTTTTGTGCTGTGCACTAGCCAAAGTTCGTGAGGACAGGGTTAGTGCAGTACACGAACCCAGTACGTGTACTGCACCAAGCAAGTTAGCGTGTAGCACTAATCCGGTCGTAGTACTACACAAACCAGTTATTGCCCTGCACGAAGAAATTGGTGAACCACGATGACTCAGTTGGTGCGCTACAATAACTTGATTGGTGCACTACACTAACTTTTAATTGGAGTAGTACACTAACTCTAAAAATTATCTTTTTTTCTAAAAAAAAGAAAAACTTACGTATAAATTAGTGCTTTTTTCTTATATAAGAAAAAATAACTAATTCATACGTATAACACTTTTTTTTTAAAATTATTGAGCATTTGGTTAGTTTTCAGTCGAAGGAAAATCATAAAAAGATATACATCGAAACATTGCAAAAGAAACACCTAGTTTTGATACTAACATCTCCTTTTTATGTAGTGTGTCCATGTCCAAATCCAAATAAAATTAATAGGTAAATATCAGATAATTCAAACTAGTGAAATAGTGCCAAAAACAGTTAAACAATCAACGCTCACATAATTTCTATTGACCCGCTTTACATGCAATAAAACTCAGAGGCACAAGCCACTTGATCTGGTCTATGATTTTGTTGACTACATTAGTCAGCCAACCCAATAAGACTCAGTAGCTCTTTTTGAGTGAAGTAAAAGACATAACGCTTCTTTGTATGTACAGGCTATTTATTGTTTATTTGTACGTACAGTTTTTACAAGTATCTCTTGGTAAGTAGGTTAGTTAATTAGATTACAAGCTTTCTAGTTCTTCTTTTATTCACTCCTTTATCTTACATCTCATCATCCACTCATAGTATCATTTACTAGTTAAATAATCCTAGGATATGTAATTTATTTTTAAAGTAATAGTGCTAAATATTTCAAAGACATGCTTAATAAATTTTAAAAAAAAAAATCAAACAAACAATAAAAAAAAAGTTCTTAAAGACAAGTTTGGGGTGATCAATTTATTCACCACTGGAATGAGGCTGAGGAGGATGTCTGATGGATGGATGATACTTGTCTGGATACCCAATCAAGGGGCATAATGTAAAGTTACATAAAAATCTCCATTTGCAACTTGAGAGCGAGAGAGAGGCAGAGGGTCAAACAGATCAGTCTGTGTTAGGCAAAGAAATGTGTTGCATTTTTTAATCTTATAAGCGCAAAGATGACGATCATATAGAAGTGTTTCATACTTGGCACAAAGAAAGTAAGCAGTTCCAGCGGAGAGCAATAACTTGGAAATCTGTACAAAACAAGGCAAGTCATCTACAAAATCTTGAAACAACATCATGAGGGGTTTGTACACAGTCCCATAGTGGGCAATCCATGATGTATCCAAACAAGTATCATGCAAACCTTCTAGAGCAACGTTGAATTGTAGCTCCAAAGACTCCTTCCTTACTGAAATACTCGGGCCAGACTCGCAAGCATCATGAAACAGTGAGGAGGAATTTAAGAAATGTGAGAAACGCAACTGATGCTTTTTTGCCACTGTTAGGGGAATATTTTTTCGACATATCACTGCAGCAGCTGTTTTTTTTGAGGGGCTATGTTTTCCCTCAAACCTCATGCACCAGGTTTTCCTGATGGGACCAAATTTCAAAAGTAAGGATGGATAGTGCGTCATCATATGTTGCTTGAATGTGAGATTATTCTTTGTTAGTTTCAAATAAAGTTTGTGATGCTCTTCTATGGTAATTTGAAGAAGCTCACCACAATCTTTTTGAAGGGAGGGAGCTAGGATCAAATTTACACATTCTCGAAGAAGTATCAGCAATTCCCATACAGGATCATTACGTGGTACCAAATCGCCTAAAATGAGGGGTAAATATCTAATGACGACAAGCATCTCTGCTGCTGATAGCGAAAGAGAATCGTTGGTGAAAACATCTGCGAAGTCAGGAGGTTTGTTTCGCTCATCAATACCATAGTCAAAATCATACATTTTCATACAGAGGGTGTCATAGGAAAGAAGCTGGGCGTCTATTAAATAGTTGAGGACAAATATAATATCTAGACCAGCCGCAGACTCCAGTACATCATGCATTACATCACCTGCACAGTGAGATGTAGAATGTATTCCACTGACTGAATTCCAAACGCAGGAGGTTTTGACACCAGTTGCTGATGGATTCCCTTGTAGAAGGTCTTCCTCATAGTTGATAGGATTGCGATACAGGGAAGGGTCGTCGCGGCAGGCTTTATGAAAATCTAACTTTTTCATCTTACAAATCCGACATGGAT